CCCCTGGTTGACGGGTAAAATCTTTTTGCATATTCCGCAGCTCGGTTGAGGTCCGAGGTCGAGAAGTTACCTCTTCTTCTTCTTCTTCGTCATGTGATGATGACTCCTGATCAGATTCTGGACCGGGTGGTGAATTCATTGGTTCTTCATCTCGCTTCACCCTTTTTGCCTCCTTTTTGCTTGTTCTCTTGCGTACAGGGGCAACTGATATTGGTACGAATTGGTCCTCTGGTTTGGCTGCAGTGATTATCACTGTGGTTTGAGTAGCAACTGTACTTGTTGCTGGGGGTGGTGAAGCTACCGTGCCTGGAGCTGGGGTAACCGCGCTGTCTGTTGCAGTTGAAGTTTGAGCAGCTGCTGTACTTGCCACTGGGGTAGCTGCGCAGTTCATTGCAGCCAAAGTTTGAGTAGCGACTGTCGCTTTGCCCTCAAATCCGCCGATATTCTTTTCCTTTTGAAGGTGCTGGATAGTGTTGAACAAGGCCCTGTAAGCATAGGCCAAGCCCCAGCACGTTGCCGTGATTTGTCCATGAATGACCACACACCTCATTTAAGTGTTTTACTAATTCTTCTGGATTTTGCAGTTGTTCGGTAGTGAAATTCCAAAATACTGGAGGGGCCCACTGACCTAGATACTTGCCCATACTATCCCACACACCCTGCCACTCATGGCTGTCCAGCCTCAGGGAAAATCTCTCGGTCCTCCTACATCGTCGTTTGACCCCAGACAAGACCCAAACCTGAATCTGCTTAGCTCTTGAAATCAGTAGTGGGAAAACACACTCTGTATGCGTGTTAGCATGGTGATTCCCATCACCATCAGCAAACAAGTCTCAACAGCATTAAAAGGCCATTCAAAAAATTCAAAACTCTCAAATGTAAATGGTTTGGGGGGATGACTGGGAGGGTAAAAGGATGTCTCCTTCACAGGTTGAGCACCTGAGAAGGAGAAAAAAGATGTGTAATTGCTAAGCACCTCCATCATATACCTCCCAAAGTATAAAGGTGGTGACCACACTGGGAACATAAGCCAGATCAGTTTCATGATCAATGATTCTATTGTATTACAAGTCATTGCCATAAAGTACAATGGGACAAAAACCTTAGCCCAAGCCCCACACTTGAAAAACACTAATACAGCCAATACCGGATGGACGTAAGATATGATATACTGAAACTGTGAGATCAAGAGGAAAAACCTTGAGAGCCAATAAATCAGCATTGTGACGAGTGACTATCAATCCAGTCAGATCTGTTCTTATTTCAACCCCTCGTGCCCCACGTTGGGCGCCAAAAAGAACTGTCGTGGTTTAAACCCAGTCAGGTAACTTGTTCACTCACTCCCAGTGAGTGGTGCCGAGCTGACAACAATCGAGGTCCGTGTCCGTCTTCTCCCCCCCCCCCGCACCGGGGCTCTCCCCTTCCCCGCTCCCAGAGGAACGGGGAGGAGGATCGAGAGAGTGCAACTCCTATGGGTTGAGACAAGAACAGTCCAGCAACAAATCACCACCTCTACTATCAGCTAAAACAATGATAAAGGAAAATAACAAGGGAAGAGAATACGATACCACCGGCCAAGAAAGCGAGTTCCACCCGGAAGCCCCTGTCCTTCCGGGTAACTCCCGGTTACCCCCACACCACGGGCATGACGTGCTGTGGTATGGAATACCTCCCTGGCTAGCCCGGGTCAGGCGCCCCGTCTCTGCTTCCTCACAGCTTCCCCTCCTCCCTGGCAGAGCATGAGCCTCACAGAGTCCTTGGTCAGGGTAAACATCACTTAGCAACAACCGAAAACATCGGCTTCACCAACACTGTTCTCAAGCTAGAAGTCAAAACACAGCACTGCACCAGTTAACACAAAGGAAAAACATGACTGCTACTGCTGAACCCAGGACATTATCGAAGATATCTCTTTGAAGAACTGCACAATAGTTTTTAAAATGAATTTGCATGCATATTTTTGAAAACCGAGTTTATTCTGTTTAATAAAAGAAGGATGATAAATTAAATATAGAATCCCCAGGAAGGTTAATGGGGGTTTGCACCAAAAGTGTTTGGGCAGTTTTGTAATTTTCACTTGCATTAAGAAAAATAAAAAAAGTTAGAATATTTCATAAATATCTGAGAGTTTATGTTTATGTGAAGGAAAACTTAATTCCTCAGGGAATTAATTTTCCTCAAAGGAGATGAGTTGAACATTGTAGTATTAAAATACAAAACCCAGCTACATTTGCTGAAATATCAGCAATCAAATGCAGTCTGTATGTGATTGCATCAAATAGATAACTTGGCCCAAAAGTGTTAGCTGGGAGTAAAGACAAATAAGCAGTACTTCCTCAACAGACAGGCAACAAAAAAAAAAGCCATTATGAAATATTAGTGTGTGTGTTGTGAGACCAGTATTTTGCAGAAGCTGTCCTGTTTGTCGGTGTTGCCCTAGTTGCTGTAGAATACACACATATAAGGATTTTTTTCTGTGCAATTTTTATATTTTAAAAAAATCTGAATTCATTCCAACTCATGTGTAGCACTGAGAAACACAAAGTTTATGAAAGGAGTTAAATTTCATGTTTTATATTTTGGTAAGGTAGTGTAAACATTTTGCAAGTTTCCTAAATATTTGGAATGCAGCATTTTACAATGGAGAAATTGTGGCATCTTCAGACTGATTCTCAGCTTCCTGCTTCCTGAACACTTTTCCTGAATTCAGGGAAGTTTTCCTCTGTTCAGTTTGCTCAGGACTGGGCTCAGTTAATTGGGCAGAAATTCAGCAATGGGAATATTTAAAAGAAGCATTTGAATGAAGGCAGACAGGCATCCTGTAACAACTAATTCATCCACATAACATGTCTTTGAACTGTCTAAGGCATACCTAACTGTTTACATACTACTAAGAGTAAATACTCTGAACAGAAGGGACAGAGTTGCTGTGAATAAAAAGAAAGATTACAAGACAGCCCATCTGCTAGAGAGTACCTGTCACCTTTAGTTACAAGCTGGAGACAGCCCTACCTTGTAGCAACTAGAGAAACCAGTTTATTATTCAAACAGAAGAGAGGAAGAAGCTAACTCAGACCTCCACTTTCTGTCTGATATTGTGCCAAAACATCAGTTTCAGGGAATCTTGTGAGGGTAGAACAGTGAGGATGAGTCTAAACACTAACAAGAAAATAGCTAAAAGAATCTACAGCTTCAGTAGAGTTAAATGTCTAGCCATTTTAATAGCTTAATAGCTTTGAAAGGGATTGGACACACTAGCTGTTGGGTGTAGACAAGAATTCTGCTAAGGAAAAAGTACTGCTGGCAATGGGGATGAGAATTATGTTCATAGGTAAGGTAAACTTGCTATCCTTAAAAATCCTGATTATGATGGTTTGACTTCGCGAACAAAGATTTGGAAAAGGCTTTACCCACGCTTACTACAAGCACACTGATGACTAAAAAGGCCAATGTGGGATAGGCAAATCCGGCTGCAAAAAGCACAGCGAAAGTTCTCTTTGGGTGGTATAAGCAAGGCACAATTCTTTCGACATTGTCCTTTCTCTTCGAGACTAATTCTGTGTGTATTCTCAAAGGAGACAACAGCATTATGTATGGTGTGTTTCCAAGTCTCCTGATTGGAGGCCAAGGTGGACAGCTGACGGTAGTCAATATGGCCAAGGCTGAGATATTGTTTCAGGGAGTCCTTATATCTCCTATTTGGGGCACTTCCCTTGCAGCAGTCAGTGGCTAGTTCACCATAAAACACAATCTTAGGGAGGCAGTGATCCTCCATCCTGGAGATGTGCCCTGCCCAGCACAGCTGCGATTTCATCAATGTGGCCTCAATACTAGTGACCCCTGCCTGTTCGAGGGAAGTAACATTTGACACATAGTCAGTCCAGTGGTTGTTTAGAATTGTACGGAAGCAGTGCTGATGGAAGCGTTCGAGGAGTCGCAGGTGATGGCAGTAGATTCAGACCCATATAAAAGAGTAGACAGTACAATGGCTCTATAGACACTATTCTTTGTACTTTTCTTCAGGTGTTTATTGCACCAGACTCTTTTATGGAGTTTTCCAAAGGCTCTATATGCCTTTGCTATTCTGTTATCTATCTCTTTGTTGACCGTGGCATCCAAGAAAATAATGCTTCCCAGATAGCTGAACTGCTGAACTGACTTAAGCTCTGACTCAAGAATGGTAATGTGGGGATGATGGCAATCTTCTTGTGGTGCAGGTTGGTGGAGAACTACCGTCTTCTTCAAGCTGACTTCCAGCCCAAAAAGCTCAGCTGCCTCTGCAAAGCAAGATGTTAAACGCTGCAGAGCTGCTTCTGTGCGGGCAACAAGGGTGGCATCATCAGCAAAAAGCAGTTCATGGACAAGGTGATTTAGGGTCTTAGTGTGGACCTTCAGTTGCCTTAGATTGAATAGGCTCCCATCGGTACGATATCGAACATAAATGCTGTTTTGTTCGTTGAGTTCTATCGTAGCCCTTTGGAGAATCATGCTGAAGATGATTGTGAATAAAGTTGGTGCAAGAACGCAACCCTGTTTAACACCATTGGTTATTGAGAGGGGCTCAGAGAGTGCATCACCATATCTGACTTGGCCATGCTGATCCTCATGTAACAGAATAATCATTTTGAGGAACTTGGGGGGACAACCTAATCATTCCAAGATCAGCCACAGGCCTTTTCTGCTCACAGTGTCAAAAGCTTTGGTGAGGTCAAGGAAAGTTACATAGAGCCCCTTATTCTGTTATCTACACTTCTCTTGCAGTTGTCTGAGAACAAATACCATGTCTGCGGTATTTCTATTAGCTCTGAAACCACACTGACTTTCAGGTAGAAGTTCTTCTGTGATAGCGGGTACTAATCTGTTCAATAGTATTCTTGCAAGGATTTTTCCAGCAATGGAGAGCAGAGTTATACCTCAGTAGCTTGAGCAGTCTGACTTTGCACCCTTTTTCTTATACAGAGTGATGACAATTGCATCACAAAAATCTGATGGTAATTTACCTTGTTCACAACAGCGCACAAGTAGCTCGTGAAATCTAGCATGAAGAGCTTGGCCTCCATGCTTCCAGATTTTGGGTGGGATTCTGTCGACTTCAGCTGCTTTGCCAGTTTTCACCTGTTGTATAGCCTTAAGAGTCTCTCTCATGGTAGGGGCTATATCCAATTCGTTTTTCACCAGATGTTGTAAAATGTGCTGGATTCCTGTGCCTTGGACTACACGGATAGCACTAAAGTGTGTTTGAAAATGTTCAGACCAATGATTCATGATGGAGATTTTATCTGTAAGAAGCGTTTGGCCATCTGCACTAAGGAAGGGGCTTTGAACCTGGTATGTGGGTCCATACACTGCTTTCAGAGACTCATATAATACCCTGTGGCCACCCAAAACTGCGCATAGTTGAGTCTTTTCTGCTAGGTTGAGCCACCACTTGTTATGGATGTCTTGAAGTTTCTGTTGGAGTTTACTGCATGCAAGACGAAAGGCTGCTTTTATTAAATGGCAAAATGGCTAAGCGAGGTGTGTTTGATGAGCAGATCTCTTCTTTGTCAGCAATTCCTGGACCTCCTGGTTGCTATTATCAAACCAGTCTTTGTTTTTCTTTAAGGAGAACCCAAAGGATTCTTCGGAGGACTGCAGGATGCTATTTTTAATATGTTGCCAAAGCGCTTCAGGAGAAGAATCTATAAGATGGTCTGCAAGCCTAGTTTGAAGGATAGCCTGAAAGCTGTCCTGCACTGCGGCTATTTGAAGATAATTAACTTAGAGCCTCCTCTTCGGAATGCCGCCCCTCTTAGGTTTGGGCTTAAAGTGGAGGTTAAGTTTGCAATGTACAAGGCGGTGGTCTGACATTCTGCACTAGGCACCACTGGGGTGTGAAAGGCATTGTAAACATTTCTCTGGCGCACCAAGACATAATCAGTGAGGGGCCAATGTTTAGATCAAGGATGCATCCAGGTTGTCTTCAGGCTGTCTTTCTGCTGGAAAATAGTATCGGTGGTGGTAAGCTGCTGCTCTGCACAAAACTCAAGCTAGAGGTGTCCATTATCATCACTGCAGCTACCAACACTGTGCTTGCCTAGTACTCCTTTCCAGGCTTCAAAGTTCTTACCTACTCGGCCGTTGAAGTCACCAAGATATGATCTTATCTTCTATAGGAACCTTTTGAGTGAGGCGACACAGGTCAGAGTAGAATTTGTCTTTTTCTGCAGGGTCATCTTTCAGAGTTGGAGCATATATGCTGAAAAGAACAACATGTTGCTTATTGTGTAGTGAAAGGCGTAAGGAGATAATACAATCGGAATGACCTATCGACAAATTTTCAAGTTTAGAGACAATGGAGTTTTTAATCATGAAGCCGAATCCAGAAAGATGACTTTCAGTTTTGGATTTGCCTGACCAGTAGAGTGTATAGCCGGCACCATGTTCTTTAAGGCTACCTTCCTCATGAAGGCGAACTTCACTGAGAGCAACAATATTGATGTTAAGTCGTGACAATTCGTGGGCAATTGTTCGCTGTATCAAGCATGGTTCTGATGTTCCAACATGGGAGTATCAATCTGGACACACCTTTGGAGGCAGGTGTATGCCTTTGTCTCTTTGTCTTTGATCGACAGCAACAGAAGATTACCATTGGCTGCGGTTAGACAACCAGGTGGAGGGGGAGATGCGCTATGGTTAGGCCACCTTTTCAAGCCTCTCTCCATATGGAGCAAGCAGTGCTGTCATTGGAAAAAGGCTGCTTGGCCATTCAGGGTGTAGCCAAACAAGACTGTCATCTCCTGGGTCAATCTCGAGGGACCAATGTCCTGAACTGCCTGCATGCAGGGTTGGGTCTGTGGCTTCCAGTGCACCTTATCACCTGCCGTTTCATCCCTCGCCTGTTGCTACAGGGCTTTGCAAGTGTGGGTAAACCCTTCGGGCCTGCGCAGTGGATTTTTTAGGTGAGGCACAGCATGAGCAGAACTGGCCCCACCCTTTACACCTGAGGTTTATCTGACAGGACCTAATGAGCTTGGACAGTGACAGCAAAATCCTCAGGTTTGTAGCTCCATCTGCCCAAGTTTGAAGTTAGAGTTGTCCTTCTCCTAGGATGGTTGCCCGAAGGCTAGTGAACCCATCCTTCCCATGGACACACTTTGTCTGACCCTTCATTTGAGACCTGTCTGGCATGGGAGACCCTGCCGGAGGCATATGCCACCACCAGCATAGCTCCCAACCTCACGAGGGCACGCAAGCTCTTTCCCCACGACAACGAGGTGTCTGTGAAAGAGATAAATCCTGATTATAGTAATTTAAAAAACATCAACCTGTTTGTCAGCTGTCGTGGTTTAAACCCAGTCAGGTAACTTGTTCACTCACTCCCAGTGAGTGGTGCCAAGCTGACAACAATCAAGGTCCGTGTTCGTCTCCCCCCCCCCCCCCCCCTCCCTGCACCGGGGCTCTCCCCTTCCCCGCTCCCGGAGGAACGGGGAGGAGGATCGAGAGAGTGCAACTCCTACGGGTTGAGACAAGAACAGTCCAGCAACAAATCACCACCGCTACTATCAGCTAAAACAATGATAAGGGAAAATAACAAGGGAAGAGAATACGATACCACCGGCCAAGAAAACGAGTTCCACCCGGAAGCCCCTGTCCTTCCGGGTAACTCCCAGTTACCCCCCACCCCGGGCATGACGTGCTGTGGTATGGAATACCTCCCCGGCTAGCCCGGGTCAGGCGCCCCGTCTCTGCTTCCTCACAGCTTCCCCTCCTCCCTGGCAGAGCATGAGCCTCACAGAGTCCTTGGTCAGGGTAAACATCACTTAGCAACAACCGAAAACATCGGCTTCACCAACGCTGTTCTCAAAACTAGAAGTCAAAACACAGCACTGCACCAGCTAACACAAAGAAAAAAAACATGACTGCTACTGCTGAACCCAGGACATTATCCACCCCTTATTCCATACCATTCACGTCGTGCTCAGATCCCACATTTTCAATACACCATCGCTCTCCCACATATATACATCCATATACATACAGACCAAGAGGAAAAAAAAATCATTTTCTTAGTGCATGGACCAATCCCTATAATGCTGCCGAGTCCATTCGGTCCATGATGTTCCAAGTTCATTCTCTGTTGGGATGATGGCTGGAGGGAAGTCAGGGCCAGTCGCTGGTGACCTGGAGACATCTAGTTGATGGGCTATAAAAGCATTACACAGCAAGCAACAGCATACAATTGAGTTCACTGGCTGTTTTCCCCTAAAATCAAATCCCCTTGAGGTATACATCGGACTTCCCCATCTTCCCGCATTACCCACCAAGTATATCCAGGTCCCTGAGCAAAAGCAATCCCACGAGTGGGTTTGCCTTTACCTGAAGCAGGAATAACCCAGACTGTCTTCCCCAGCAAATTCTTCATATGCACCACGGGAACTTTGTCCCCCTCTACAATATGTAAAAGTTCTGACTGGGCTGGGCCGGCCCTGTTGGCAGATCCTCTGGTGTTGACCAACCAGGTGGCCTTTGGTAAATGTGTATCCCAATGCTTGAAAGTTCCCCCACCCATCGCTCTCAGTGTAGTTTTTAACAGCCCATTGTACCGTTCGATTTTCCCAGAGGCTGGTGCATGGTAGGGGATGTGATATACCCACTCAATGCCATGCTCTTTGGCCCAAATATCTATAAGGTTATTCCGGAAATGAGTCCCATTGTCTGACTCAATTCTCTCTGGGGTGCCGTGTCGCCACAAAATCTGTTTCTCAAGGCCCAGGATGGTGTTCCGGGCAGTGGCATGGGGCACAGCGTATGTTTCCAGCCACCCGGTGGTTGCTTCCACCATGGTAAGCACATGGCGCTTGCCTTGGCGGGTTGGTGGCAGTGTGATATAGTCAATCTGCCAGGCCTCCCCATATTTATACTTCAACCATCGTCCTCCATACCAAAGAGGCTTTAACCGCTTGGCTTGTTTAATTGCAGCACATGTTTCACACTCATGAATAACCTGGGCAATAGTGTCCATTGTTAAGTCCACCCCTCGGTCACGGGCCCATCTATATGTTGCATCTCTGCCTTGATGGCCTGAAGTGTCATGGGCCCACCGGGCCAAAAATAATTCACCTTTATGTTGCCAATCTAAGTCCATCTGAGCCACTTCAATCTTAGCCGCTTTATCCACTTGTTGGTTGTTCTGGTGTTCCTCAGTGGCCCGACTCTTGGGTACATGGGCATCTACATGACGTACCTTCACCACCAGGTTCTGCACCCGGGCAGCAATATCTTTCCACAGTGCAGCAGCCCAGATGGGTTTACCTCTGCGTTGCCAGTTGCTCTGCTTCCATTGCTTCAACCACCCCCACAGGGCATTTGCCACCATCCATGAGTCAGTATAGAGATAAAGTACTGGCCACCTTTCTCGTTCAGCAATGTCCAGGGCCAGCTGGATGGCTTTCACCTCGGCAAATTGACTCGATTCACCCTCTCCTTCAGCAGTTTCTGCAACTTGTCGTCCAGGACTCCATACAGCTGCCTTCCATCTCCGATGCTTTCCCACAATACGGCAAGAGCCATCAGTAAACAAGGCATACTGCTTTTCACTTTCTGACAGTTTATTATATGGTGGGGCCTCTTCAGCACGCACCACCTCCTCCTCTGGTGACATTCCGAAATCTTTGCCCTCTGGCCAGTCCATGATGACTTCTAGAATGCCTGGACGACTGGGATTTCCTATTCGAGTTCGTTGTGTAATTAGTGCAGCCCATTTACTCCATGTAGCATCAGTTGCATGATGTGTAGAGGAGACCCTGCCTTTGAACATCCAGCCCAGCACGGGCAGCCGGGGTGCCAGGAGGAGCTGTGCTTCAGTGCCAATCACTTCCGAAGCAGCTCGAACCCCTTCATACGCTGCCAGTATCTCTTTCTCAGTTGGGGTATAGCTGGCCTCAGATCCTTTGTATCCCCGACTCCAAAAGCCGAGGGGTCGACCTCGAGTCTCCCCTGGAGCTTTCTGCCAGAGGCTCCAGGTAGGACCGTTCTCCCCAGCTGCAGTGTACAGCACATTTTTTACATCTGGTCCGGT